TTCTGGGAGTATCCTTTTTGATAAAGACAAAAAACGAGGGCACCTGGGTGGCTCAGTCAGTTAAGCATCAGAGTCTCAATTTCAGTTCAGGTCATGATCTTATGGTTCATGGGAGATGGAGCCCAGAGTTGAGCTCTGCCCTGACAGCATGGAGCATGCTTGAGATTCTCTCTCTCCTTTCCACTCTGCTCCTCCCAGAACACACTCTCTCACTCTCTCAAGGTAAACAAATAAACTTAAAAAAAAAAATGTTTAAAAAAAACAAAAAACAGAAGTCATTAATGACATCTCTATTACTCAAAAGCAAAAAATATATATATTTCACATAAAATTTAAGGCACATTTAGTAAAAATTTTTTATAAAGTATTTTTTATTTTATTATCTTTTCAAGCAAGCTCTACATCCAACATGAGGCCTAAACTCATGACCCTGAGATCAAGAGTTGCATGCTTTATGGACTAAGCCAGCCAGGCACCCCTTTAGGTACATTTTTAATTTCTGTTCTTCTGAGCAAAACCATGTTACTGGATGATTTTGCTCTTACTCCAAATAACGGACAACGGGATTTTACTATGTATCTAAAAAACAAACAAACAAAAAAAAAACTAAAAAAAAAAAAAAAAAAAAAAAAAAAAAAAAAACAAAACAAAACAAAAAACCAATTAACTATTTTATCTAACAAAAGGAAAAATGTTAATAATAAGTTGGTTTTTCAGAGTTACTCTAGGAAAGTAACAACTATAAATTTATTTCATCTACCAAACATTAAAGCAACTCCTACTATTATAAAACTCTTTTGGGGCACCTGGTGGCTCAGTCAATTAAGTGTCCAACTTCAGCTCAGGTCGTGATCTCACGGTTCAGGAGTTCGAGCCCCAAGTCAGGTCTTTGCTGACAGCTCAGAGCTTGGAGCCTGCTTCAAATTCTGTCTCCCTCTCTCTCTGCCCCTCCCCCACTCACGCTCTCTTTCAAAAATAAACATTAAAAAAAATAGTAATAAAATAAAATTCTTCTATTTGTAAAAATGTAGATTCCAAGTCAATCAAAACATTGTTTAAAATTTCTGGAAACTTTTTAGATTAGGTATCAATGTTTATATTAATAAATGAAAAAAAGAACACAGGTCCTACAAGTATCTTTACAAAAGTCCTTAACAATTACTAAGTCCTTTTTCACAGACAAGAATTAAAATCAATCAGGAGGGGCGCCTGGGTGGCGCAGTCGGTTGAGCGTCCAACTTCAGCCAGGTCACAATCTCGCGGTCTGTGAGTTCGAGCCCCGCGTCAGGCTCTGGGCTGATGGCTCAGAGCCTGGAGCCTGTTTCCGATTCTGTGTCTCCCTCTCTCTGCCCCTCCCCCGTTCATGCTCTGTCTCTCTCTGTCCCAAAAATAAATAAACGTTGAAAAAAAAAAAATCAATCAGGAAATATCAGCAATTTTAGTTGTAATTTTTTTCATCAAATTTTTTAAAAATTTTAAGTTTATTTATTTTGAGACAGGGAGAGCATGAGTGGGGACGAGTAGAGAGAGAGGGAGGGAGAGGGAGAGAGAGTGAGTGATTGAGAGAGAGACGGAGAGGGAGAGGGAGAGGGAGGGAGAGAGGGAGAGAGGGAGAGGGGGAGAGGGGGGGAGAGAGAGAGAGAGAGAGAATGAATCACAATTAGGATCCTTTACTGTCAGCAAAGAGCCCGACACAGGGCTTGAACTCCCAAAACTGTGAGATTATGACCTGAGCAGAAATCAAGAGACGCTTAGGCAACTGAGCCACCCAGGTGCCTCTTAGCATCACATTTTAGAAAAAATATTTTTACTGTCACTTTTTCTAGAGGTTGAAATAATAAAACAAAAACCATCTAAATTTTTACTGAAGATGATTTTTAAATTTCTAACATTAACTGCATTAGTATCCTGGAAAACCGCTGTCTACAACACTGTTGTCTACAATGCTGTTCTACCTATAGATTGTGGGTGTTAACACAGGCAGTATCTGGTCACTCCTAATGCTGATAATGTATCTGAAAGATATTTTTATTAGGAACAATTTAAACACGATACAGTTGTTTCCAGAAGGATAGCAAAATCATTTTCCTTCTTTTGCTCAATTTCCACACTAAATATAATCCACATTTAGAGCATTCTTATTTCTCTTAGTTATGTGGCTATTCCTATGCTTAAAACCAGCTACTTAAGAACACTGAACAAAGACCCTTACCCTTTGTTAACACACGATTCAATAGATTTATCTTTTTCTACTTTACTGGCAAAAATTACATTTCCACAAAATAAAGTAAGTGTTGGGTTAGTTAACTTGAGCTAGTAGTTAGGATATGATGCTAAAACAAGGCTAAACTGACTATGTGATCATATACAACCAATTAATTTTCATTTTCTACAGGGTCAGAGGCAGCATCAAAACCCCTGCTGGTCAGTTCTTTGGTCACAAGGAGAGCCAGTTGGGTCAAATGTACAGCTAGGTCAGCACAAATCCACTATCAGCATGTTCCATTTATCAACTTTACTACAAACAAATCATGTAAGAGCTGTCATCTCGTAAGAGAAAAACACCAATATTATACCCACATAAAAAAGATGATAACCTAAGAGGTAAAATCTAATCTAACATGTAAAATCTATTTTAGATGTTAAACTGAAAAAATATTTTTAAATCTAATTCCATTAATCAATAGCTATACTATGCATTTAAAAAAACCACACTAAATTATTAGTCCTATTGCTAAAACAGATAATGGTGACAGTAATGACAGAATAGTATAAAATATTTAAAAAGATGACAACCCTTAATCCCTTTAACCTCTCAGTTTTGTTTTTTTTTTTAATTTTTTTTCAACGTTTATTTATTTTTGGGACAGAGAGAGACAGAGCATGAACGGGGGAGGGGCAGAGAGAGAGGGAGACACAGAATCGGAAACAGGCTCCAGGCTCCGAGCCATCAGCCCAGAGCCTGACACGGGGCTCGAACTCACGGACCGCGAGATCGTGACCTGGCTGAAGTTGGACGCTCAACCGACTGCGCCACCCAGGCGCCCCTCAGTTTTATTAATCCATGTACTTTATGTATCAATTGTAATCTAAGAAAAACTATACCTTCAAATTATAATAAAAATTATGTTCCAAAGAGAGACAAATCTGTTTATTTTTTTATTACTGGTAATAACCGCTACCCAATCACTCTTCTATTCTCAGTTTCTCTTCTGACCTATAACTCCCATAATATACTGCAGTCAATGGAATTACCACTTCAGTCCTTTAGATTTGCCTCTCCTAGAGACAGTGAATTCCTTAGGAATAGCATATCTTCCTCCTGGCCTTCTCCCCACCTTCAGTCCCTTAGAGTATAAACTGACACACTACATTATTCATTTGCTCACAGATCAGCCTCTCCTACTAACTACACTATGAAATTCTGTAGACACTAGGTGTGTTTCATCAACCTTTTACACAGTGGCAAGCTATACAAGACTTTTGAATACATGCAGTTGAACACTGAACAACTTAATGTTTGACTCTTTTCTATCCCACTCAGTATCTAAGAAGCACCCTCCAAATATGGACCACTCTGTTTTTTTGTATGAATCTCTGACCCAAGACACATTTTTTTCTGTTCCTACTAGTTTCAATAGTCTCTTTGGAGGGAAAAGCCTTGGATTATGCCTGGTCCCTTCTTCAATACAAATCGTTGCTACAAGATAATACAGAGTTAAGTATATACCTAATTTAGTAAAATCTCACAATAACATCCTTGATTAACCACGTGATCCTTACAAAATTTATAAACCTATAAATTCCAACACCTTTTTTTTTTAGTTTACACTAAGACTAAAGAATGCTTCCCAATATAACTGATATTAAGAAGGATGCCTGGAGAGATGGAGGTGGGAGCGGGGCGGGAGGTGGGGGGGAGAAGACCATAGTGAAAGAACAATTTAACACACTTCTTCCATTTCCACCTTTATCCCAAGAGAATTTAAACGTTAAGGGAAAAAATGGAGGTAGAATCTGTGACTCCAGAATAAGCCACAAAGAAACAAAAGACGCTTAATTTGCAAACTGTTTTAACCTACCCTTTCAAATAATTTTTCAAGAAGGATTTTTTTTTTAAATCCACAGAATCTTTTGCTGTATCCAGGCGCAGCTGGATCTCATCTCACCCAACACACCCCACCTCCATACACATACACACAGCGTTACCACTCTGAGTCTCTGTACCAAACCAACCATCTCGGGAAAAATTAAATCATGAGGATCATTTCCTAATCCTTGCTGAAAAATACTTATAATTCTTTTTCCCACAGGAAAATTAACTATTCTAACGGGATTGTCGAGGGAAGGGGGGGGTGGTGCTCATTATCATGCAGCTTCTCATCCTCCATAAGGAGGAAAATGGCAATAACTTCCAACAGACAACTGCTCTTCTACAGTAACCCCGGCTAGAAACTAAAAAATAAACAAAAATACCAGTCTCTTGAGGCGTTTACATGAATATAAAACTGAGGCACTTTACTTTGCAACAACATAGCCCCTTAAAAATCCTCCAGAGCTTGGGGGAGGGGGTGATCCATCAATCCCCCCCACACCCCTGCCATATGGGGGAGCAGGATTCTGTCAAATAGAAAAAAACACTCTCCGCCTCCACCGCCATCCCGAACACTGACGGGTACCGAGTGCGGGGGCGGCCGAGGGCAGAAGAAGCGAAGAGGCGGGGACACGACACATACACCGCAACGAGGACTGATTCATGGCTTTTTAAAATGTTTTAAAGCTACAATTTCCTCCAGCCGGAGGTTTCTCACCAATTCACCAGACCCAGCTCCCACCCTATTCTCCCCCTCCCCCGCCCTCGAGGGCTTAGCTAGGCTGGGTCCCCGCCGCGGCCCCAGCCCCGCGCGCCCTGCGCCCCCAAGCGCGGCCCCCGGCCCGGGGATCCCCCACGCGCTGCCCACCAGAGGCCCGACGCGCCCAGGCCGGGACATGCTTCACACCTGGATGTAGTTGTTCTCGCAGTAATCTGCCACCCGTTCCAGATTCGTGTAACTGTCGAAGAGGGCCCGGCGGCCCCCCGGGATTTCCTCCTCCAGCAGCATCTGCAGCTCCGCCATCTTCACATCCTCCTCCTCCTCATACAGACCGCAGAGGTAGCGGCGGCAGCAGTGCCTGGGAAACCCAAGACTGGGAGAGGAGGAGCAGCGGCGACAGCGGCGGCGGCAACTCGCGAGGAGCGAGAAACACCCCCCGCGCGCGACAGGGGAGGGGGCAGCAGAACGGGGGCGGGGCGCGAGCCAACGGACTCCGAGGACGGTCACCGCGGCGACGGACGGACGGGCGCGCGCACGCGCGCTCCCCTCCCTCCGCCCCCGGGAGCCCGAAAAAGATTCCCACCCTCCGCCGCGCCGCCCGCCCCTCCCCCACTTTCGGCGTTTCCTAGCGACCGCGGGAGTGGGGGCCGGGAAGCGCGCGGGAGTCGGGCGCGCGGTTAACCCTTCGGCCCCCGCAAGTTGCGTGGCTCGCTAAGTGTCTCCGGTGGCTTTTGTTGGTCCGAGTGAACGCGCTACCCGGCTCTGCTGTCTTCCCGCCCGCGCCCTCTTCGACTCCCCTTCGCGTTATTCTCAACCTGAGGCCGAACTCCGTGGTCATTGGACTGAAGAATAGCAGCCCACAAAAGTTCCGTGCAGCTTTAAGTGCGCCTTGCTTTCCATTTTTCTTTTCTTCTTTGACCTTATCCATCCTCTTTGGTACAGATAAGTAAATTCCAGTTTCATAATCCCGTATTTCCTGCACCCAGGCTTTTTTGCGCTTATTTGCCCGCTAAAGCTATCGCCCCCACCCCCACCCGGCCAGGTTAGTCTCCGTTCGGCTCTCAATTCCCTGTCGCCTGGACCTCAGCTTTTTGTGCTTGCCCTCTCCATGATTCTCTTCCTCACTGACATCCTTTTCTGTCATTTCTCTGGTTCAATTCCACGCCTTTTTTCTTCGTGGATCCAGTATTTAAAGTTCTGAAAATGGTTTTGCTGATGATAATTTTCTTACTCACATGGCTGCTACATGGATAAGATAATAGTATATGTGAAAGCACTTTGAAAAACGTTAAATACTACAAAAATTCAAGATAGATCATTTTGATTTTCGGAGTTACTCTGTTCTTGTTCCCCACATACTGTATGTTTTCCTAAATCTTGACTACTCCACACAATGTAATCTTTTAAAAAAAAACCTAAAATTTTAAAAACCTAAAATATTAGACAACTGCTGAGTTGCCCATGACCTTAATTTATACCGTGGTAAATCAAGGTTGACTACATTTGCAGTTTAGAACAGGATCCATTATTTCAGGTCTCGTTCTTGCTTTTTGTGATATCTTTGTCCTTCTACGGTGATTCCCCCGCCACCTTTTTTTCCCAGATGCTGGGGCAAACTATATTATACTTCCATGAAAAATCATTTGAATGTTATGCCATTCCAAATTTTTGGAGCAATCTCTGGTGTTATTATATTGGGTGTATGATATACACATTAGCAAGTTATTTTGAATTTTCAGTGTGGAACCCAAATTAAAGAATACTGAAAATGTCCAGTCTATCTAGTTTTATTCTTACATAACCACTTCAAACTTTTTTTTTCATGTTTTTTTTATTTATTTTGAGAGAGAGAGACAAAGCATGAGCAGGAGGGGGAGAGAGAGAGGAGAGAAAGAGAGAATCTCAAGCAGGCTCCAGACTGTGAGCACAGAGCCAGACTTGGGACTGGAACCCACAAACTGAGAGATCGTGACCTGAGCTGAAGTGGAGTCCGATGCTTAACTGACTGAGCCACCCAGGTGCCCCAAACATCTTTTGCATTAGTGGTTCTCAAACTTAAGTATAAGGAGCTTGTTAAAAATGAAAGCTGTAGGGGCGCCTGGGTGGCGCAGTCGGTTAAGCGTCCGACTTCAGCCAGGTCACGATCTCGCGGTCCGTGAGTTCGAGCCCCGCGTCAGGCTCTGGGCTGATGGCTCAGAGCCTGGAGCCTGTTTCCGATTCTGTGTCTCCCTCTCTCTCTGCTCCTCCCCCGTTCATGCTCTGTCTCTCTCTGTCCCAAAAATAAAAAAATAAATAAAAATAAAAACGTTGAAAAATGAAAGCTGTAGCGTCACACTCTAGGGATTCATTAGAGAGCAGTAGTGATGGAATGGGATAGTTACTTAAATGACACATAAACTTGCTTCAAGGAATAAAATAGTATGAATAATCAAGTGAATAAAACAAATTGGATGAAACTTTTGTTTCAAACCTGAGTAAATCAAAAGGCAAGTGTTGAACTGTAACAAGCCCACCAGGTGAGTTAAGTGGTAAACGGACTCTTTCCCCATTATACTTATTTCTACCTAGCATTCTTTCAAATACTTCTTAGCAATTAGTCCAATAAACAGATCTCCCTGAGGGATAATGGTTATCCTAGGAATCACTGCCTGAAAATACTGGTACTTTCTTAAATTGACTGGTGACAACCTCTTTGGATCTTCTTTATCTGAAAAAACAAAGGTTTTAACTCAGGTATGTTGTTCTCAGACTTCAGCATGGATTGGAATCACTTTGGGGGCTTGTTAAAATACAGGATTGTTGGGGCGTCTGGGTGGCTCAGTCGGTTAGGCATCCGACTTCAGCTCAGGTCACGATCTCACGGTCCATGAGTTCAAGCCCCGCGTCAGGCTCTGTGCTGATGGCTCAGAGCCTGGAGCCTGTTTCCGATTCTGTGTCTCCCTCTCTCTCTGCTCCTCCCCCGTTCATGCTCTGTCTCTCTCTGTCCCAAAAATAAAAAAATAAATAAAAATAAAAACGTTGAAAAATGAAAGCTGTAGCGTCACACTCTAGGGATTCATTAGAGAGCAGTAGTGATGGAATGGGATAGTTACTTAAATGACACATAAACTTGCTTCAAGGAATAAAATAGTATGAATAATCAAGTGAATAAAACAAATTGGATGAAACTTTTGTTTCAAACCTGAGTAAATCAAAAGGCAAGTGTTGAACTGTAACAAGCCCACCAGGTGAGTTAAGT